CTTCTTTTCGGCGCTTTTCTATTCTCTGGTTGTTGTTTGCGCTTGACAACTCGTGCATTGGGCGGGGCTAAAGGCTAGTGCAGATATTTATTGCGTGTACGCTCCATAAACCGCATGCAATCAAGCTACAATGTTTAAGGATATGCGCGCGCGTAATAAAAGCGAGTTCATAAAAGCTGATGGCTGCTGCTGGAAGCCGGATGCCGGATGCCCGGTGAGGCTTGGCTGGTGGTCGATGGCCGATGGCCGATGTAGCCGATCGAACAATAAATTACAGGAGCATCTGAGTCAACAGCAATACCTGAATCATTTGCGTGGCAAAGGATAATTTTACGAGCATTCCGAGGACATAAAGCAACCCATGCCATACCGATAAACCCATTCACAATCGATGTGCCACGCCCATTAACTTACCGTAGTGCCGTCATAGCCATTCGTCAGCAGTTGAATGTCGATTTCCAGCTCCAGATCCACTTTGGCGGTTGTCAGTTGCAGCGGCAGGTGATCGACGGCCAGCAGCCCGCTGTGGTTGCGCCGGCTGCCCGTGCCACTGTGATTGCTGCTGCTGCTGGCGCTGCTGCCCGGCAGTAAAGTGGCCTCGCTGAGGTTTCTGCTGCTGCCGCCGCCATGATTAGAGGCAGCCGCAGCCGCCATGGCGGCGGACAGAGCTGCGATGGCCGTTGCGGCGCTCACGGCATTTATCATATTGCTTTCGAGGGAAGGGGGCTGGGGCTGGCAGTTAGGCGAGTTGGATGTGGGGAGTGGGGGACAATAAGCTGGCTGGTTCTTTTACAGCCGCTGCGTGCGGTCGTATGTGCAATCGAAGTGCAATCTCAGAGCGAACAATAATTTGCCAGGCGATTGTGGCATGGCATTTTGGCCTTGATTGTTATGTCTAATTACTGCGTCCTTTGGCTGAGTGGCTCGACGTGTACTTATTGGCTGTAAGCATTATGGCTGCAGCTGCTGCTGGCCTCGATTGTTCTATTCATTAGCGTTAGGCGCCTATGCATATGCATTTCCCATTTCCCATTTTGCAGGTGGCACACACACACATGGGCACATATGCACTTCAACAATTGCGAATGCAGCATAAACACTGTGTAAATCAACGTCTCCTAGGCGTGTGCTGAGCTGTGCCCAGTCATCGTCATGCCACATTTCCCCAACGGAAATTGCATATTTTCAACAGTTTTTTGCCGTGCGCCTCCGACTGCAGAGTCATTTATTATTAGCCACGACTATAACATGGCCTAGACGTGACCATTCGACGGCAACTGTGTTTCACAATTTCTGTCTGCGTGTGTGTGCTTCTGTGTGTTTTGAATGGCACTAAATAACAGTTCAGTGGAACACTGCATGCAGCCTGGCGCTAGGCCAGTGCCTCTGCCACGCCTATTTGTAATCAGGCAAATTATCAAATTGTTGCCAATTGCTGCAGACCATTTGAGTTTGAGCTCGAGCTTCAGTTGAGTTTTGGGCCAATACGCCCCAGCACTAGATGTCTTCGATTTGGAATCACACTCGTTTCTTGCACTCGGCACTGTAGTGCTTGCACGTTCGCGCGCTGTGCACAGCAAGTGGCTTCAACGGATGGCAACTGATCAAGAGTCACTCACGCATACGCACTTACACACACGCACCTGCACACACGGACTGCTGGGAGTACTGACTGCGTCGGCTGCTGTTTCGGCCGATGGAGGCTGCTGCCGCGCCGAACTGCGCGATTTGAAGGCTGAACGTTGACTGCCCGTTAACAGGCACGCACGAGCGACATGTTGCTCCATGGCGGGCATACGGACAGGCAGGCAAGCAGGCAGGCAGGCAGGCAGGCCGGCAGTCGGGCGGGCGGGCGGTACGCAGGCGAATGCCGTGCGTTCATTTGCCAATGCCGCTCGGTATGCAACAAATTTGAAGCGATTTCTAACGACACTGGCAGCGAAGGCTCCAACGATTCAACAGGATGTGCCAAATGGCTTGTAGCACAGGCGAAATATGTGCGCAGCGCAGAGCAGAGCGAGCTTTGCCGAGCGAAAAGAGTGACGAGAAAACGAGAGAGCGGCACTCGACAGGCACAGCGAGAGTGAGGGGGAGGTGCACAGAAAGCACCCGCTGTTATCGGCTAAGCACCTGTTGTACCATGTCGCATTTGGCGCGTTTCATGCGCGTTTTATGCGCGACTCCCGCCTACGTCCCCGCCCGCAATTCGGCTTCGTTACCGCCAGCTCGACAGCTCAGCGCGACAGTGTGAAGTGCAAGTGTAATGAAACTAAATTGCGACCTCTGACAAATTGCACTTGCCTAGCAATTTTTCAATTTCAATTTCATCTAACTTAGGCTAGCATTTATTTAGACACACAATTGAAAATATATATATCTATCTCTTTCTCTCTCTCTCTCTCTTCCACTTATCACAAGTTGACTAAAGCCTAAAAAGAAACGAGTCGACTCAGAGCCAGATGTGCTGGCGCAGCCAACTAATATGCCTCGCCAGATCTGTGTAGATGACGGGCTGCGTCAAGTCGCAGCGATTGGTAAACACCTGGCCAGCCGAGACGACGCCGCGCAGCAGCCAGATATTGTTCTCCTGGAGCATGAGGCCGCCGCCGGAGTCGCCGCTGCAGGGTCCCGCCGCCTGTTTATTGCTCGCACAGATTGTGTTCTGCGTGACCAGTCTGATGCCCTCGCTGGATCTCAGACTGCGCAGGCACTCGGCCTCTGTGATAATGTCCGTATCGGTCATCTTGGCTACGCGCGTGTTCGGGTTCCCATGCTCGTCGGATCCCCAGCCAGCCACGTAGGACTTGTAGCCAGATGGCAGCTGCAGCCGAAAGTTCTCATTCCACAGGCAAATGGGCTTGATGAATTCGCCAAAGCTGCAACAGAAAATCCCAATGAAATTTAGATTCACAGCAGTTGTTATTAGCACTACCGAAGCATACCTCACTGGAGACGACAGCTTGAGCAGGGCTATGTCCGCATTCGAGTAGTTTTTGGGCGAGTACTCCTCGTGTACCATCAGCACAGATACCTCACCCAACAGGCCGTCCGATACCAAGTCTAAAGTGTTGCGGCCCAGCGAAACACCGACACGACTCGGCGGTAAGTTTCGCTCGGCGTAAACGAAGCAGTGCGCCGCCGACAGCACCGTAGAGGCCGAGATGAGCGTACCGCCGCAGAAGAAGCGAAGGCCGTCGGGACCACGCTCATAGAGGGCCGCCATCCAAGGCAGCTGGCCGCGTCGCACCTGGCTGCCAAAGTGAAGTAGAGGCGACGTGACCGGCCCCTCTCGGCCGCAGATCTCAGAGAGCTGCCCAAGTCCGCCAGCAGCGGTTGCCGGTGCGGGTGCGGGTGCTGGAAGCCTGGGGCGAGGAGCAACTTTAGCGGGTTCTTGTCGCGGCGGCAATTGTGGTGCTACTGGCGTCGGAATGGGCACTTGTGGATTACTGAATGTGGGTCTCTGTGGTTGCGGCTGCACCACACTTTGTCCCCAAATTGGCCGCTGTGGCCGCAGACTTGTTTGCTGGACGAATTCGGGACTTTGGATGAATAGCGGCACTGTCGTAGAGCGTAGCGAATGCGACAAAGTCAGCGTTACACTGCTCGGGGGATCTGTGAGGGAAATGGAATTGGCTTAGGCTCACTTTTAATAATAATCCGAGAGTCACTTACATGGCGATGCCCTGCATAGGACAACATCGTTGATCATCATCAATGTCAGCTTGGGCAGCACGCCGGGCGTGGGAAAGTCCACGCGATACTTGATAGGGAGTCCGTAGCGCAGGTTAGACTTGGTTGTCTCTTCGTCATCCCACAGAGTGAGGCTGCCGACGTAATTCTGAATAAATAAGATTCTCATTAATGGATGTAGGAAAAAAATAAAAAACCGGAAACCCCTGTTCAGCATTGCCCTTTCATTCCCGATAATGTTAACGATGATATTTTATAATACTTAGCACCGAGTCACACACAATATAAAGTCGAGCTTTTTTTAGATAGACACACATATATTCATGTATTTAAAAAAAAAAATTGATTTGGTAAAACCAACCTCGTTGCGGTTTTATTTTTGAGGCAAGAGGCAATACGATTTATGACAGCAGAGTAAATTAAATAATACAATCGATTGGCCAGAAACCGGTCACACAACTTCTGAAATCTAAGTATCAAAGCAAGAGAGCTGCGTAGTACCATCTAGAAGCCTTTGTATTATCTTATATTTTGTACCGCGTATAATTTATTAAATAGTAATATTGATTGCAATCTTTTCAACTTTTACCATAATGAGCATATATGATCTACAATAATAATATTAGCAATGTAAACAATCGATTTGCGAGGAAAAATCAAAAGTCTAATCTTCGCTTGGGGTCAGCGTGTGATAAGAGTATAAAGCAAATCAATATGTATGAGACTGTAGGAGAGTAAATTCCAAAAATATACGCTAGTTATTTCTCACCGAACTTAGACGTCCTGGCTGCGAGAACTCAACTCTGAGCGTATTTTCCTGGTACTGTGCATCATGTCGTATCGAAATGCGACCCACGTATTCCTGATTGAATGCCAGATACTCAAAGTATTGCGGACAGGCTATGGGCGGCACTTGCTGTGCCGCACTGAGCCTAGACAGAAGAAGCAGCTTTGTAATTATACCGCACAGTATCAGGTATTGTTCCATATTCCAAATGAGCCGAGACGCGAAACTAATTGAACAAGCGCAGTCACGATTCAGACCTCAGTGGAAGAGCGCCAAGCGGTGACTATTGCATGGGGAGTTCTGTTCCGACACGCAGCGGTCAGCAATCGATGAGCATCGATGATCTGGGTGAAACCCGTTTCGTTTTCGCTCTCTCTCTCTCTCTCTCTCTCACTCCCGCTCTGTAACAGCACAGCAATAGTTGGCCGATCGCTCTCGTGCTGTGTTTAGATCCGATATCAACGTACTAATTTCTCTTCTTTATTCATTTTTTTACTCTCTCTTGAACGGGTATTTATTCTAGATTAGCAATGTTTTGGTTCGTAAATAAACTTGAGCTTATTTAGTTAGAGTCCGCATATTATTGACAGCGTCTCTTGACAAGGGAACTTGCATATATATATTCCACTCTGGTGACGGTCATAGTAGCAGTATTTCTCCCCGTGAATAATCAGTTTGGGTATAGAGGGAATATTTGTATAAATGTTTGATTTATTTATAAATTATTTACAGGAAGTGTTTGACTTAGAGCTGAGTATTCAATAATAGGTAGAGCAAAATGCACTTCTGGCACTATTTTGGGGACTGGCTATTCCCACATGTTCTGGCGTAGCCAGGCAATGTGTTTGGCCACGTCCGTGTAGATGGAGGGTCGGCTGAGATCACATGTGTTGTTCTTCTGCAGGCCAAGTGAGATGACTCCACGCAGAAGCCAGACATTGTTATCCCTCAGCATCAGTCCGCCGCCTCCGTCGCTGGCGCATGGACCGGCCCCCGCGCGCTTCGCACAGATCGTGTTCGGCTGCACCAGGGAGCGCACGGTCTCGCGCAGACAGTCCGACTCGCTCACGACGTTCGTGTCCGTGATTTTGGAGAACTGCGTGTTGACATTCCCGTTCTCATCGGCTCCCCAGCCAGCTACATACATCTTAAAGCCTGCCGGCAGCTGCAGCGGATAGTTCTCGTTCCACAAGCAAATGGGAACAATGTAATCGTTGAAACTAAAACGGAATCGAGATTAGTTAAGTCCATCGGATATGATCGTGCATTGGCTTACATGACTTTCTTAGCTAGTCTAACGAGCACCATGTCCGCATTCGCGCTAAAGGCTTCGTATGCGTCGTGGAAGAGCAGCTCTGAGACCTCTCGCAATTCACCCTCCGAAATGATGTCGATGGTGTTGCGACCCAGAGACACGACAGCGCGGTCAGCAGGCAGATCCCGACCAGGTAGGCGGAAGCAGTGCGCCGCCGACAGCACTGTACTCGAGGATATCAGCGAACCGCCACAGAAGAAGATCAGACCATTGTCTGTCCCGCGCTCGAAGAGACCCACCAACCAGGGCAGCTGGCCCCGCTGCAGCTGCTCGCCTTGGAAAATGAGCGGCGTTGTAACTGCTCTCTCCCGTCCACAGACAGTCGTCAGCGTTTGATCTATGGGCACGGGCGTAGGACTCACTCTTCTGTTCAAATTTGTTTGCTGCTGTACGACGGGCCGTGGCCTGGCAGTTGTTCGCGGCGCCGGCACTTGAATTTGCGGTATCGTGTAGTCCGGTTGCTTCACAGCCGGAATGGATGGACCAAGGTCCCACTGCGGACCACGCCTGGAGTCCAGAAAGGCCAGCGGCACCGTTGTGGACAGCAGCGAATGCCTAAGTGTGATTGCGGTTTTTGGTGGTGGATCTGCAGAAAGACTCGAAAGTGAGGTGGAGAGCTTCACTACTCTAGATTGAGCTACTCACACTGCGCTGCACTGCAGAGCACCTGATTGTTGAGAGTGATTTTGGTCAATTTGGGCGGATCGCTGGGTATGGGAAAGTCGACGCGATAGTTAATGGGCTCGCCATTAGCCAAGTGCGACTTGGTAACCTCCTGACTGTCCATTAGTGTCAAGCTTCCCACATAGCTCTAAATAGAAAAAATATGATTCAATAAATAATTCATTACAGATATAAACATCATATTACAATATGCAGTTAATAAAACAAAAAAATAATCTTTTTTTTTCGATAATGCTTCATACTTTTGATATAGCCATAAAGATGCCGGGGATCCACAGTTGGGCTGGTAAAAACCAAAACAAAGGCTGTATATAAACTGGTCGCAGTCGTTTGGCCAAACACCAATACATGCATAGCTAGTGCCACTTTGACTACTCACACAGAGAGCAGCAGAATGAAGCAAACAAGGGAACCACTTCAGCTTGTGAAACTTGCTCTTTGCGGCTATTAATAACTGTTC